CCCCTTGATGTTAAACAGTGCTCCAGTTGGCTAACACAGTAAATACTGACCAGTGATTCAGTGAACACATAGGGTGATATATAGATATGTAACTACATAAACATAAACACAACTGTGAGATTAAAGTATATAGACTTATGTATGCTATATAATAAAAACCCTAACTAATTATATTCATTTCTATCTAAAAATGAAAATCACCCTAACATAACACAGCATGTCTCTGGATAATATAGGGATATTACAGTAATTTAAAAATCATGACTTCATTAAATGACACCTGACTTTGGAAAATTCCAGTGGAAAATTTTCATTAAGACTCACATATACACACAGTTACAATCTCAGCTGTGAGACATTCATATTATTACTGTGCTACCAACGAGAATATAATCCTCTTAAAACTTATTACTGACTAGTAGATTAGGTCTCTGTGAAGAAACTGTAGAAAAATAAACACTTTAATCACACTTGTTCTAAATTAAACTGTGAGTGCTGCAAACACATCAGAAAATCAACTCCACTGTATTAAACTACAGATGAGTGACAATGGTCAAACCACCACCCAGCAGGGCCGAGTCTCCAGAGCCTTGTCAGGTCTCCTCTGTCGGAGGAGGAAACCTCCTCCTTCCAAACCAGATCCCCCCCCCCCCACTGTGTCCGACCCACTGTGTCGTCCTCATGAAGCCATTCAGTGACCTAGAGCTGCAGCCATGAGTCAGTTCACTGGTAGAAAATGAACCTCAGCTATTTAGAAGCAACAGTCACCGACATGTTCTGGTTCCACCTTCTTTAATGTGAGGAGCTGATGCTTTTCTTTGTCAGACATGAGAATCAGCTGAGTCTCTGTGGATCTGCTGGTTGGACACAACGAGACGTGTGGAGACGCCACCTTTGGCTCTGGAGAGTCACAGTGGGACTTTATCCCCAGTGTTTGACATTCTGGGGACAAACAGGTCAATCAGGTCATCAGGACAATGATCAGCTGATTGATCGGTTGTCACTCATCTGTACTTCTCATTCGGAGATCGGCTCCTGTTCCGGAATGAGACGGAGAAAGCCGAAGTCTTCCCCCGCCAGCAGACGGACTGACAGAGCTTCAGATGGAGGAAACCTGCGCCCAGCGGACTCTGTCAGCTCCTCTTAGTAGTTTATTGTCCGAGGCACAGGAGAGGCTGTCCTTAAAGTTTTTAGCAGAAGAAGCGCGCTGTCTTTTCTGGTTTCCTTTATGACAGTTTGTTTTTCAGTCGTGAAAGTATAAAACTTACCAACGCATCATGGGGTGAGTCTGACAGCTGAGAAGGATCCTGGTCCTGAGGAGAAAGTGTCGCGACAAAACTCACTGGTAAGTCTCAGTAAAGGTGTCGTCATTTTTATGTGTTAACACTGAAGCCTGTGGTGTTTAGAGGCTGAATCGTCTCCAGCCTGCTGCTGCTGCTCACCAGTTTACTGTCCTTCTCCTTTTACCTTATGTGAAGTTCACATCTTTGTATGAACGTGTTTTGGGGGGTTGGGTTGTTATCGGAGGGGCATTTTCCAATGCTGTGGATTGAAGCCTCTGCTCTTCCTGGTGCTGAATTATACATCAACTTTATTTCTGGTCGTGGCAGCTCCGCTGTGCCCGCAGCGGGGCCCTGCGCGTAATTACAGAGAGACAGAGGCACTTTGTCCACCTTTAGCTTTGTTTGGTGCTTGGCACATCATTTCAATAAAGAAAATAATTACTGAAAGAACAACACCCATGTCGACAACATTTCCTTTGTCATAAGCTCAGAACAGTATTCTGAGGTCCTGGCTTTGCTGAATCTTTAACAATAGTGCATGTGATGCTGTGGAGCATGTGATCAAAAGCAGACCAAGGTGTGGAACTGATTCTTTACTATTCAAATGTCCATCCAGTGATTCTCAGGATGTAAAACTACAGGCTAAGGAAAGAAACTGCAGCAGAGCTCACTGAGACTTTAGTTCAAGACCAGACAAGATTAAGGACAGAAATAGTCTGTGCAAGGTCTGAAAGTCTCTCCAAATGTAAAAATAACACACAAATTATTCAGCTGAAAGCTCTAAAAGTACTGTAAGTACACCCTTGAGTTCTGATTGAGTTGCACCACTTCCATTCAACTTTCCTCACTTTTTTTGTGCGGCCAACAAACAGCACAAATACACACCTCATAAAATATTTAAACATCTTTTTTGTAAATGTTTTTAATGTGCATCAGTAACATCATCTTCTCCTTGTGCTCCGTGTGACTGCACCATATGGAGCCTCACTTACAGTATCATATTACTCTCCAGCACCACTATGCTGAGCAAAAACCATGGAACTACCAGTTAACAAATACAGTTTGCCTTCTTCTTCCAGAAGCTCTGGACGACTGTAAACCTGCACCATCTGAATAATCAGTGGACTTTGACTCTGGTTTGACTAACAGTGACAGTAACAGCTGGGATTTGTAGTCCAAACTGAAATGAGAACCAAAACACGGTCTAGTCTTGACAGAATAATGAGTTAGTCTTAAACTCCACAGTATCACACACAAAGACGGGTGACAGATGAAGGGAAAATCCTGAAACTTTAGGGGTCACTGACTTGTCTGCTGATTGTTTTCTTGATGGTTTGATTTATGTTTTCTTTGACAGACATGAGAATAAACTGAATCTCTGGATTTGTTGGTTGGACACAGCGAGATGTGAAGACACCACCTTTGTCACAGTGGGGATTTAAAGATAAACCAGATAATCAAGAAAATAATCAGCTTGTATTCTGATATATACAGAACAATATGCATTACGACGCCCTGAGCTCGTGCCATAAGTATTACTGTCACTGGAGGTTGCTAAACCATTATATGTAACTCTTGCAGAGGTGAAAAGTAACTAAGTACATTTACTCAAGTACTGTGCTTAAGTTAAATGTGCCATTTTGCATAAAGAGTACTTTTACTTTTGGTACATTAAGTATATTTTCTATTAACACTTTCGCACTTTTACTTAAGCAACATTTTGATCGCAAGACCTTTACTTGTAATAGAGTAGTACACTTTTACTTAAGCAACATTTTGATTGCAAGACCTTTACTTGTAATAGAGTAGTTTTACATGGTACTGCTGCTTTTACTGAAGTAAACAATCAGACTACTCCTCCACCACTGAACTCTTGGTCATATTAACCTGTTAACAACCTGTTTTTACAGGACAGACTCCTTCTTATGGAAATCAGTGACCAGCACAGAGAACTGAGGCGAGTAGAAATAAAGTTTTCATGTACAACTCGAGTCTGTTTCTTCAGGCTGCTGATGCTCTAGTAGAGCTCCAGTTTTTTTAGGCATATTTATCGATGTGTGGTTTGTGAGGACACGAGATCTTTCTCATTCAGATTCAGTTACATAGGAGCTGCCTTATATACAGTAACCACAATCTTCTAGTGAGCCACTGAGTTATATCTGTACACGAACTCATTCAAACTTTGTGTCATATGATACATTTACTTCATATCCCAGTACTCGTGCACCAGTTTGGATTATTCAACTGTCGAAATCCTGTTTCAACAGAAAACTACAGTCACTAGCCGTTTTAGGGACTTACTTAAAATTTAGCTTTAAAACATAAACAAAAGATTTATGTCTTCAGTAGCTGCAAATGGAAATAGGGTCAAAAATAACTGGGAGCTGGATTATCACCCAGTTCCTTTGCAGCTTTTATTGTATTTTGTTGACTAACAAAAATATAAATTAACACCAGCGATTCGACTTTGTTTGGAACATTTTGACATTGAACGTGCAGCTTTATGAAAAAGACTTTTTGAATCGCAGCCTGGATGTGATTCAGACCTCGTCGTCTGTTCTCAAGATGAGTCAGCATTCTCCAAAACTGCATGAAGAATTTATGGCGAGGAGATGCCTCAGTCTTATTTTATGCTCCAAAAGTCTCCAGTGCTTCTGCTTTGTAATGCAGGCACTCTCATTTCACTTGATCCGCTAGATGCACCTCTAAGACGAGACGGTCAGACGCTAAGTTGATGTACCAGATGTTTAACGTTAAATACTGTGTGCACGGGCCGAGAGCCAAAAGGCTTTTACTTCATATACAGAAAGTCCATGTTTGACTTGTCTATGCATGGACGTGTAACAGATTTTAACAAGATTTAACAGAGTTCTGCTCAAAAACACTTTGAATAATGTTTAAAATCATAAATAAATTATGATTTACTCTCAGTTAACATTAACTAAGGCTGCAAGCGACTTGTCTCTGTGAGAAAGATTTAAAAAAAACACAGAGATGCAGCCAAAAGAGAAACTAACTCCCACATGTGCTTATCTACTGTACTCCCAGTACAAACTCCCACATAGTGTACACGCTTTCACAATAAAACCGCACCATATAATCAGTCAGCACATGAATAAAAGCTTGTGTCAAACTTTTCAACTGAGGGAAAAGTTTTATACATTGAAAAGTAAATTGTGAGAGTTTTTAGTGGCTCTGCTGCACAAAGGCCACAATGGTTCCCACTGTGCCTGTAACGTGTTTTACGGTATCGTGTTAACAGCAGGGAAACATCGTTCAGTGCCATCGGAAAATGTGGGTTTAATGCTGCTTAGCAACAGGTGAAGTTTCAGGCAGCGAAGGTGATATTTGTATATTTACTCTGTTCCTTAGTGCACTGTGAAGTATCTGGACTTTACTTGAGCTTATCCTTTTCCTGCTAATTCATACTTGGACTTCACTACATTTCAGAGGCAAATCGTGTCATTTTTCCTGCACTACATGTATTTGATGACTTTAGTTTCTTTCCATAATCAGATGAATAAAACAGTGTAATCATTAGACTTTATCGATGCCCGGTGGGAAACACACAAGCTACCCAGCTACCCAGTAGGATGTGGAGTTCTTCAGTCAGACCGATGCTTCCTGGTTTAAATGTCCACACATGACCTCCATGAGCTCCACATGTAACATGACTGTAGGCATCCACCCGTTTGAAGGCAGCACTAAGTGCCTCACTAGCTGTAGTGTAATGTAATAATGTTATACACTCTGTAATTGCATGATGTGGGAAATTGCGCGAGGAATCCCAGCCAGGTGTTAACCTAATGTGGACTTAATGGTGTTTTAACCAGAGCAGTCTGTGAATCTTTCACTCTCTTCCTGCTGCTATTTAATCAGGTTTTTCTCTCAGCTCTATGGTTTCTCTGGTCACATGAACAGTTTAAAGCTGTCTTCATCTGTAGGCAGCGCACGTGTGAATTTGGAGGTGGGTGGTGGGTGTGCATGTGGAAATAGAAAAGGCATTAGTGGATAGTTACCAAGTCAGATTACTCAGGTATGTGTTTGAGACATTTTACTTGGAGTATTTTTACTCAGCCACACATCAGATACAGTACTGTTTACATGGCTGTGTTTAATTAGTAGCATAACGTACTCTGAAGATCATCTTTGATGAATTACCCAACACTATATAATCTACACAACCTACTAAAACAACACAGTACTGTACCAGTACAGTACCTCCTGTGAGTGACAGGTTCTCTCTTCACTTTATCTTATAGTGGCTCCTCCTATATTCCTGAATACAGCTGCATCAGCTGCTACTCGCTGCCATGAACCTACTCATTCTCTACAGTCAGTACAAACTGTCCCTCACTCCTTAAAACCTGCCACCGTGTGCTGCTGTCTGTGCTACCTTTGTGTCCACTGGCTTCTTTATGACTCTGCCAGATAACCATGGTGAAGGAGAGTCTGCCCGGCTGGGTCCACCAGGACTCTGACGAGGGTCTCGTCCACGTCAATGTGGGAGGTCTGAAGAGGAGCCTCTGTTCCAGCACGCTGAAAAAGTTCCCGGACACCAGGCTGGGAAAACTGCTGGCGTGTGATTCAGAGGAGGACATACTACAGGTGGGTCAAAGGTCGGGGGTGGATGGACAGACCGACAGATGGTGGACGACATATTTTTTTCTGATTTTGGTTTCAGAAAAAAGAAGTTATGAGAACTCGTTAATTTATTTCTTTTTCTCCTTCGGCCCTAAATTATCCTTTGTTCATTTATTTCCTCATAATTCCCCTCCTTCTGTCCTGCCCCCTTTCCTTTGCCCTTCCCTCCCCTCCTCTCCTTCTGTAGGTGTGTGATGACTATGATGTGCAACAGAAGGAGTTTTATTTTGACAGGAACCCCGGCCTGTTCCCTTATGTGCTCCACTTTTACCAGACCGGCAAACTTCACGTCATGGAGGAGCTGTGTGTCTTCTCCTTCAGGTGCGTCCTGCCTCACAGACAAAGTGTACATTCACTTAGGTCACAGTTTGTCAGTGTAGCACTGGTGAAATAAAATCATTTCTTCCATTCAGTCCATTTTCTGTCTAATCATTTTGAGTTTGGTGCTGGTGTCATCTGTCATTGTCTTCTCGTAGTTTAAAGCCCTCTGACACTGTAGCTGTACAGATTAGTTTGGTTTGCCTTGTGCTTCCACACAGCCAGGAGATCGAGTACTGGGGCATCAACGAGTTCTTCCTGGACAGTTGCTGCAGTTACCGTTACCATGACCGCAAACTGGAGAGCAGCCGGCATCGCAGCTGGGATGACGAGAGCGAAGTCAGTAGCATAGACACGTCTGCGGACGAGATATCTGACTTAAACAGGTAAAAGATGCCAGTGAAGGATGATGGACGTTGCTTTGTGGCGCCGTTCACTCATTGTCTTCCTGCACCCTGACAGAGACATGCAGCATTTCCAGGAGGTGCGTTATGGGAACATCAGGAGGTGTCTGTGGCTGACGCTGGAGAACCCGGGATACTCCATACCCAGCAAGCTCTTCAGCATGCTCTCCATCGGAGTGGTGCTCACATCCATCGCCACCATGTGTATCCACAGCATCCCAGAATACCAGGTTGGTGTGGAGAGCTCCAAAGAGTACGGAGCCAAATAAAATCACACTGCCTCGGTTTGTATTTACTGGTTGTTGTAATAGTTTGGATGAGAGGTTTTCAAATTGTACCTTATGAGGCAAAGATAACATATGAGGGGAAATGAGGGGGTGCTAGTGGTATTTGTCCTGCTGATTTGGCCTCAAGAAGCTCACGGTGGCAACTACTTGTCTGAGTCAGAACTCAGTCAGACTCGATGGGAATGTTTTCGATGCAGTGTGACGGACCCTTCCCAAGCACATCATTATGTCGGACGCCTGTCACTGATAAATGTCCATAAATTCGCATAGAAATTGTAGAAAACAGACGGTCCCTAATGCAGAACTTGGTTGAGAATCACCACATTTTAAAAATGTTGTTCAGTGTCAATGTATTTCAGTGATAAGTGTCTGCACATTAATGGGTACACTGCAAACAAGAACTGGTAATGGCTAATTTGGTGAATTTTAATGGTGCCAGTTTCCCAAAATGAGCAGAGCTGCCTCAACTGTGTCTGAGGGAGGGCCCACAGTAAAGCCGCTGGGTTGTCAGGTGCAGATCATCTCTCAAATCCCCTCAAACTCACAAACAACAATTTACACAAAAACAATGTAATGAAGCAGAACCCCTGGAGGTAAAACCCAGTAACAGCCCAGCGAGAGGTGAAATAGTGCAATCAGATGCAGGAAGGTGAAAACAATCAGCTGTTGTGCTGCTGACGGTCCCTAAAGCGCATCCGGGCCATGATGAGGGAAACAAACACCGAGAGCTGGGACTGAACGGCAGCAGATGGTGGAATGACAGAATAAGTGCGATAACAAGGGAGCGACACAAACTATCAGCTGTGTTTAACAAAACGTCTTTTGCTCATTTGTTGCAAAGAAACAAATAAGGAGACAGTGGTGTGAAGGACAGTGTTTGGTTTGTCTGATCACAGCTCAGTCGTCTCAGATGGTAAGAATTCATTATGAATGTTAAGCAGAAAGCTGTTGGACAAAGGGAAAGAAAAGTTCAGATGTGACTCTTCATCTTTCTGCTCTTCCCTCTCAGACCTGTGACTCAGAGGGGAAGCTGGTCGAGGACCCGACCATGCATTCCCTGGAGGTGTTCTGCTCCTGCTGGTTCACCTTCGAGGTGATGACGCGGCTGCTGCTTGCACCGAACAGAAAGAAGTTCTTTCATCACCCTCTGAACATTATTGACATGGTGTCGGTGGTTCCCATCTACATCACCCTGATCTTCGACATGGCGGTGGGATCAGAGTCTGAACTGGGAGACCTGGGACGACTCATACAGGTTAGGGGAGTAACGTTCCCCGGAACACTCAGAGCTTTAGACATGGTTTTGGTTGTGCTCAACTTGCTCTGAGTGGCGTTGCCTAATGATGATATCATTAAAGTGACTAACTGAAGAGAATCATGGGAAGTGTAGGCCCATAATTACCATCGTTACACAGGCTCTTTTTAAAGGTTCTTATGAAAAAGATGTAAATAAACACATGAGGCGTCTTTCTCTCATCACTTCATGTCACCTTGTGTCTCTCTCAGGTTTTCAGGCTGATGAGGATTTTCAGAGTCCTGAAGTTGGCGCGCCACTCCACAGGACTACGATCCCTGGGAGCGACGCTCCGGGTGAGTCCGGAGTCTGGGATGGGAATCAATTCTTGAGTAGCAAACTGTAACAACACTACTACTGCTTATCAATCCAGTACTTTTATCAGTTGTTTTTATTATTTTAAGAGAGAAAACCAAATTGTGAACAGAATTAACACTGCTCTGTTTTCTCATATAATAAAAGTGTCATTCATTCATTCATATGTAAAGTTAATTAACATTCTTGAGTAGCAAACTGTAACAACACAAATCATTAGACCATATTATTATTATTTAACTGTAAAGAACTGAATGCAGGACTTTTTCTTTGACAGTATTTTTACTGTGCGATACTTTGCGTCACTAGTGCAGCTCTGCCCCTGTGAGGAACAGTTCACCTGATGCTCTGACCAGTTCATAACAATCAGCTGCCTAATGGTCACTTTTAACCATGAACCCACGTTTGTATAATTTAGTTAATGTCGATGAGAGAGGAACCATGAGCAGGAGCTGCATTTCTCCACCTGTGTGTGTTGGACTTTGGCTAGATGTTTCTACATTTGTGGCAACGAGCACTGACAACATCAACCCTAGTGATGTGTGACCACTGGGTTTCAGTTTCTAAATACAGAGGAGCTGGACTCAGCAGCTGCAGAGGTTTAAGTGTCGGCTCCACACATGCTGCTCGGGTTCTGCCCAGTTAGTCTGCACTTCAGTGATTTATTTCAAATTAAAGCAGTGAAGACGTTGCTTGTGTTGACACAAGCCATGTAAAGCCATGTGTTATTTGTAATGTAAAGGACTTCAGTCTGCACTGTCAGAACTGTAGATGCTGAGTCATCTAATGTCATTCCTCTGTACAGTCCCATGTGAGGTATATCGGTTACACCTGCAGAGATACTGTATCTGATGCAGAGTAAGTTACCACAAACTGTGCACTGTGAGAGCTGCAATCACATGACTCTCAGTTTTCCACCAGAATGATGAGGACACAATTTTCTGTATATAAAGCTTCACTATGCAAGAGTTGTGATGGAGACAGATAAACCACTGTCTGAACTAATCTGTCACTTCTTCAAACTGGCTCTGGATGCACAGTATTTACATTTAGATTGACTTTAATAAATGCTCCTGGCCCGTGATCGGCATCAGGAGTGACACACTGGGGGCTCTCTGCTCTCTCCCCTGCATCTCAACTAACATAAAGAGCCTGAAGACAAGACATTAGTTTACATTTAAAGTACTTACAATGTGGGCACGCTGACAAAGCTTTGGCTTCAGACCACAGTAACTACAGTTTGAGAAGTCGAGGCGAGCCAGCTACTGTATATTTTTAACGTACAGGCAATTCAAAGAAAAGAAAGCATCAACAACATTAAAAACGATAAGTAGTTAAAACAATAAATCAAATAAATGGAATAAAATACATAAAATGTCCAAAAT